GTTTTATGGATCGATCCTGCCTTCGACTAATTTATATATTTAGGAACGGCAAGCAGTCATTTTCCTCTCTTACACATGTCAAAGATATGCTGTTCTGTACTTCGTTCAGTCGGTTTAGAATTGAAGTAGCCTGATTTGAGTTTTCACAAATGAACAGGATATCGTCAACATATCTTCGATACAGATGGGCTTGGTCTATTAAGTTCTCGGCTAAGTTCTCAACGTGTGATATAAATATGTCGGCTAGGAGGGGACCTAAAGGACTTCTTATAGCGACACCATCAACCTTTGTTTATCGAATCAACATGCAATACATGTAATAGAAATGATGCAACACCCATACATACTAGAGATATGGAAAATTTTGCTACCATACCAATAAAGACAATTCATATAAAGTGACGTAAGTATAAAAATCAGTTAGCGAAGTGGAATGTGATTACCTTGATATTATTATGAGCAATACTAATTGATGCTCGAAACTTCATCAAGTAAATAGTGATACTAGATCACCTACTGTGTGTTATAAATGAAATAAACAAATCTAATATGGAATTCAGTGATAGATCTAAAGTTTCCATCTTAAAAATTATGCCATGGATAAGATATTGTTCAACTTCCACTGTCGTCAAATTTCATAACGAAATATGTCAATAAACAAAATGAGTAGTAATAGGACCTCCAATATGCCGTGAACTCAGCAGCGATATTTGTGGACAGTTTGAAACGAATGGCATTAAGAACATTCCAACCCACTCCCAAAAGTATTGTGACGACAAGCAGATCACACATTTACTATATATAAGTCTGAACATATTCGGATAGTCTTGACACACATAGACTTAGTAGTAGATGCAATCCAACTTACTTATGAATTAGAAAATGAAGAAAACAATTACCACCTGTATTTCATTGCAAAATCAAGAGGAGAGAAGTCAACAGTTTAGACATCATCACTCGTGTAGATACTTGGATTTCACATCATCTCACTCTATATCTGACAATGTAGGCTTCATATAATGTCTAAGTAATCAGGCTAGGCGTTTGACTACCGGAATAAGCAACTGAAACACATCAAAGAGACACTACTTCGTAATGAGTACCATCTGGAATTTGTTAAAGTGTCTGTAAGGACTGATCAGAAAGGGTGAGGTAATACAACACGCCTAAGAGGAAATCCTGTGGAGTGTTGGCATATTGAGAAGGCGCATCTGAAATTTTACTTAAGATTCTTAACAACACTGAAATTACAGTGGCATTTAAGCTCAAAGACTAGCTCACAAATACACTTTCTAGGCTATAAGATCCAGTAGAGTCAGTTTAAAAAAGCAACTTCATCTATCAGATACCATGTAATGATTGTGAGATCAAGTATAAAGGTCAAAGTAGTTAGTCAGTGTCAGTCAGAACGGAACAGCAAAAAATTAATGTCAAAGCACACAATGTTAGACCCTACTAGGACAAATAATTTACAGAAAAGCTTGTCAATTGCTTTGCATTCACTGAACCATAATCACACTATGGGGTGGGTGGGATAGAGTGATAATTCTTAATTCCAGTATATCTAGGTGAAGGGAGAGATTGATCACAGAATCTTTGTTCATTGAATCAACATGTAATGTACATCTAAAAGAAGTGGCTCGTCACATTTTATAGATATCTGGAAACCCTTATTATTATTATTTATCCCTTGGGTTCCTAATGGAACATTGGGCTTCAGTAGCACGTCTCCAGCAAACTCTGTTCTCTGCAATATTTTGAACCTGTCACCATGACTGCCCACAAGCTCTCGTTTCTTCTTCTCATGATCTCTTCCATGTCATCCTTGGATACCCAATTCGTCGCTCCCCATTTGGGTTCTACCCGAAGGCCTGGCCTGGCGTATGAAGTCTCCAATCTGCCTTCTCAGTGTATGCCTTTAGTACCATTAAGATAAGTGAATGAACTGTAGGGCTATTTAAATAAATCTGCAAAGTCATATGAATACTTTGATATAAATATGAGCAATAAATTCTACTCAAAACGTCATCTAGTATACTGGACTATATCACTGTGTCCAATATGAAATAAACAATCTTATATGGAGTTATACTATGCCATAGTACCCGAGCTTTTTCTCACATTAATTTATCTTAGAGATGGTAACGTGTACCAAACTGTTTAGAAGTTAGTTCAACTAACTTGACAGTGTCAAACAATAAGTTTATTAAGCAATGTTATACTCTCTAGTCTTCAGTTTTCAACTTAAAATAACTGACAGCAATTGTGTTTAAGAATTAACTTCGTACGGGATTTGTTTCTGTTTACTAGAAATAGGCATCTCTCCTTTGAAATCATATCTAAGTAACACAGAAACTGTTATATTTCTCATAGTTTTCATCAGAGAGCTATGAGATGGTGATACTCAACCAACGCCACCACCATTAACAACAAGCTCCAATCACCATCAACAGAAGAAACTTCAGGGAAGTAGCCTCTTTCACTATCTTCCAAGGTAGCACCGTTTCAACTACAGGCGACGGTAGAACAGATGAGGAAGTAAAAGTCTGGATTGGAAAAACAGCAAGATAGGCGTTCATTAATCTGAAATAATCAGTGTGGAGTTCTACTGCACTCAGCATAAACCTTGAACAACATTCGGATTTTCAACACCAATGCCAGTCAAGTCAATGCTTCTACATGGTTAGGAGACTTGGCGTGTCACGAAAGGCATTTCCAACAGACTACAGATATTCATCAACAACTGCTGCCTACGCTGGCTCGATACTGTCACTATTGCTTAGATGGCCAGCATAATAAGAATAAGCAACAAGGAACTCTGGCTGGCTGGCGAGGAACCAATGAAGCAAGAACTATAACTCAACAAATATGCAGTAGAAGGAAGTGGAGATGGATTAGGCATACACTGTGAAGGCCGATTGGGGACACCATGCACCAGACCAGTTCCTCGAGTGGAAGCCACATGGAAACAACGAGTTGTATGTCTGAGTGTGACATGAAGGAGATCATATGAGGAAGAAATGAAAGCTTGTGGGAGTCGTGGAGCAAGGTTGGAAAGACTGCAGAGAATAGAGTTGAATGGAGATGTGCTACTGAAGCTGTATGTTCCACTAGGAACCCAAGGGATAAATAAAATAAATAGTTTTCATCAGAGATTGATTCGACTATAGAACCATTCAATAGGAAACAGCACTAAATAGATTTTTCTTTCCTACCACAGAACTTTCGACTCAGTAGTTTCCTTATTTTCAATGCAGTCAATGTCTTTTCCTCGACTTGTGTACCTTACTTTGCAACCAGTGGACTTGACTCAAGTGGTTTGTGTTTATTATTCCAGAACACCTTTTTAACACTATGTTATATGTCAGCACTGTATCTGGGTTACATCATAAGCCTGTCTGACATCAGTAGATGTTTAAAGAGGTCATTAGGAATACTACAACAAAAGTGATTTTAAGATCAAGGGAATTCGGTATCTGTATTGAATACTAAGTGAATAGCGACCCAATATCATGTTGTTTAGTCCTGAATGCCGATCATTTTGCTACGTGACCATCAAGCTAGAAGGCTCAGTATCGTGGTGCACGTTGAAGAATGTTAGTTGGTTGAAGGCAATATGCAAGACTTCGTGCTTGTGGGTACTTCTCAGTAAGATGTATCTGAAACGAAATTAGTTACTATCCAGTGGCCAATCAGTGTTCTGAATGCAGCCCTACAGAAAGTGGGTCCATGTCCAGATAGCTCAGTGGTAGCACTTATGACTTCAATATTAGGTGATACTGGTTCCAATCTCGTAGTTCGCTAGAGATTTTAGATAAGCCTTGTTGACTGCTGTCAACAAGCAGGGAACCTGAGTCGTTTCTCCAACCAACTAACACTCCATTAGGCATATTTATACCCGACTTGTGACAGTTACAAAAGTTTGCTAGACGCTTAGTATCCTTTGACTCCCACTAAGTAATAGCTAACTGAACTTCAACATATGTATATATTATGGACAACTGTATGGTGACTTCCTGTTAGTCAGAATTTCAGTTGCAGTCTTAGAAACAAAGTTTCCTCTCTGAAAGGATGACTTCAACTTAAAATAAATGAGACTTATCGAAGATTCGTTTGCTTTGCTATTCAACAAGAACATAATTTACAAGAAATGATATTTCAGCAGGGATTTATACCTTACTAAAACGTTGCATCAAATAGATCTTCTTGTTTATGTAAAATTATTTGTTAACCAGTAACAAGCGGTGTTTAGTATAGACTTGAAAGATGAATCAACTGATAAGTCTGTAGACGTATAGCACACAACGCCACTAGGCTATACGTTATGCATATCCAGCCAACAGTTAAAGCCAGCATCGGAAAGGCAAGATAGGCTTTCATTAAGTTGAAACGAGTGTCACGAAAGGAATTTCCAACAAACTACAGATATTCATCAACGACTGCTGCCTATGCTCGTTAATGAAGCTCAGGTGGCCAGAATAAAAAGAATGAGCAACAAGGAACTCTGGCTGGCTGGCGAGGAACCAATGAAGCAAGAACCTATCACTCAACAAATATGCAGTGGAAAGAAGTGGAGATGTATTGGACATGCACTGAGAAGACCATTAGGAAACATTATGCGCCAGGCCAAGTCGTCGAGTAGAAGCGAGATGTGAAACTGCGAGTTGGGCGTCCGAGGTGAGGGTGACATGGAGGAGATGGTGTGAAGAAGAAATGAGAGCTTTTGGGCTGTCGTGGATCTGGGTTGAGAAGATTACGAAGAAGAGAGTTGAATGGAGATGTGCGACTGAAGCTGTATGTTTCACTAGGAACCCAATGGACAAATAATAATATCCAGCGGACACCAATTTCACCTGAACTATACTTGTTGAAGTATAAGTGAATTGTAAAAGAAGCCAGAGGCGTATTATTTAGATATGTAACGTTAGTCTATAGATTCTTAGACAGTTACACTTTTATCAAAGATTTTAATTGAATTGTAAATATTAATGCAAACTAACCATGATACAGTTTCAGAAATTCCGGTGTATCAAAACTGTTGGCATATCTTGTGAGGTCCAACTTGATAGATCGGCTAAAAGAAAGAACATTGGTGTTACTTTTAGCCTTATTATGCCCTAGATTTCAAAGCAAAACAAATCACATTCCACGCTACTACCAATATCCATGAACAGAAAGTTCTTTTTTGCCAACGTTAGTATCATATTCTCTATTCAGGATCTCATTCGTACACAAAGGATAAGATGAAGTATTGGGCCATAACATAGTGTGTATATCAGTTTACTTGCTCCTGTGGAGGTGAGTACAGTGACCATACCGTGAGCTGGTTTATGAAACGCTCTCTTCAACACTATCCAGCCTGACCGGAAAAGGGGAGAAATGAAATGTATTTCCAGCTTTTCAACAGAACACTTTGTACACACAAGACATTCTGTTCCTTTAGATAATTCCTTGAAAATTTTTTTACAAAGTATGACCAAACCTCTCGAAAAGAGTAAGGTTAAGACATCTTCCCATAGCTGAGACATTTGCAATTCAAAGGTTCAAACCATAATTATGCATTCAAACGAAGCATTAATAACCTCTTTATTTGCCATGGCCTTCGTGAAGTATTGCATAGTAACCATTTGGTTTATTTCCATATTTTAAACATCCACAGACATTGCGCAAGTTTGCCTTTGACCTTTGACCGGAAATGCTATCATGATGTCCCCAAGAGTATCAAAGGCTGTCATGCAGTGGAAACCAATCTCCTCCTGTACGATCATGACAGCAAGATTCAACTCAAAAAGAACGGAAGTCACAATCATACAGTGCCAGCACTATGCACCTACAAATAATGCAGATCAAGAGAAAAAGGAGGAATTGTACAGACAACTGCTATCAGTACTGGACAAGACCCCACTCCAGTTGGCGACACCGAAATTCCAATGGTTGACGTAAATCCCAAACTGAGAGCGGACAACATAGGAAGAGAACTCATCGTGGGTCGAGAAGCACTTTGCGAAATGAACGAGAATGGAGAACCGTTGGCAGACTTCTGTGCAGTGTGTACAAACAAAAGAATATTCACAAAGTGACATGCAGTTGATTTCACCACATGGACACACCAACAACCAGGTCAACTTCATCTCAATGTGAAGTAAGTGGAGATCCAGACTGCCTGATACAAGATCAAGAAGAGGAGGAGATGTTGGTTCACACCTCTCACTATCCAGTGCCAGAAACCCACCCTCAAATTCAAGTCGAAGGCCTTCACAGTTGTCATTGATAGACCACACTTCGAGTTCGACACCAAGAACAGAAACTGAATCATGAAACTACAAAGGATATCTTCACATCAGTTGGTCATCAGGAGAAGATGGGAGATATTGAGTGATATCCCTGAAGGATGGGGTGTGGGAGAACACTGGAACTCTTTGGAAGCTAAATGGAAGGTAACGTGTATAACCGTGTTTGGAAGTAAGAAGAAGCAAGACAATGAATGGAATGGATCTCGACAGACAAATGGAAGCAGATAGGGGAGTGAGAGGGAGACGGTTAGGCAGATGATGAACCAGTGAAGTGCAGTTGAGTGCATGAATGGACAGCGAGAAGAGGAAGTGAGTACAATGTATAAAACACTGGAAAAGGAGGTGAGGAAGAGTTCACAGAAAGACAGAAGATACTTCTACTACACCTTATCAAGTGAAGCAGAACAGGCTGTAGGTGGTAGAGACAGATACATGACAACATTATATCAAATAACCAGTTTTGCTATCTGGTAGGGAGAGATCAACGCAGATGAAACCAATGAGAGATAGTGAAGGAAGCCAAGTTACCAAAGAGGAAAAACAAAGGAGTCGATGAGCTGACGACTTCAGAAAACTCTTGAATCGACCGCCACTACAATTTTCGACTAACCCAGAAATACCACCAGCAGCCCATGCACAGAATTATCAGGTAACTCATGCACTCCGATGAAAGTAGAAGTTCTGTACGCGATAAAGTTTCTGAAATCCGGAAAAGTAACAGGACCAGATGGAGTCCCCCGGAAGAAGTGAAAACAGATGTACATACACCAGTGGACACAATTGCACTACTATTGAAAAGGGTTTGGAAAGGAGGAAGGAAGGAAGGAAGGAAAGATACTTGCCGACTGATTGGAAGCAGGGTTATCTGGTTATCTCATATTATTGCCTTGAATGCTGTTATTAGTAACATCATTCAAATGCAATAAGGACTTCGGTGAGAAGGTGTTGTTCTCAAGTTGACTTTGCCAAAAAATTACATACTGAGAATTCCATACTGTATCTTAGATATTGTTTGGAACAACATGGTTATTACTATTATAAATGTACCACTCAGAAATGCAATCAAGACTAATCAAAAAAAAATTTACAAACTTTGTAGGAATATTAGAAAATTTCTCTCGAACTATACGTTCCAGTGTATTCAATGCATCTGTAAAATTGGAAAAGACAATACTGTAATAGTAAGGACTAAAACATGAATATTGTGTATCAAAGTAACAAATCTTTTTTTATAGAATCGCTGCAAAAAACTAAATTTCCACTTTAATCTAGGTAAGAAGAGCTTCCAAACCTTAATGATACACATAAGTGATGGTGATGAGGAACTGCTAGCCAAATGAGCTATATTCCAACTGTTTATTGTATATCATATATTATATGAACCTGTCATATGTGGCTTTAAATATAACCCTAACAACTATTTAAATGGTCAGCTAGGCTTCCTTATTTTGTGAAAAGTGCCTTGACAGACAAAATAGAGAAACGCGACTAGTTAATTTCAGTGGTTCTTAGAGTGGCCTTCGAATTCATTTACCTGTTCATTTATATTTGTATGAGAAACCCAGTTGAATAAGGATTACGATGTTATTCTCAAAAGTTGGAGAAAGTCTGAGGTGATATGATTATGATATTTCAATCTATCCCATTTTGAATATTGATTGTGGTTGAAAAATCAAATTCTGATAAATTTATTACTCATTTCTTAGATTATTAAGACACAATTGAAAGAAAATTATTTGTTCAACGGTAATTTTTTCATTCAATACATTCGGTAGATGTCCACAATCATGCATGAACATTTAATTAAAACATTTCATACAATTTCTTTTGATAAATTTGAATGAAAAAACAGGTAGAAAACTTTATGATTGTATGTTTGAGCATATTCTGAATGAAATTTTTTGAGGGGGTTGTGGAGATTTGGAAATATTTCAAGTTGTTATTCATCGAAGACTGACATCAGTTGGAGGAACAAAGGAAACCTGGGAGCACTGGACAGCTGTTTCGTCCTAGTATGGGACTCCTCAGCAGTGCGCACCCACGACCCCACCAGCAGGGATCGAACCCGCGACCTTCAGGTTCCGCGACCAGCGCGTTACCATTGAGCCACTGGGTCAGAATCCAATGCTCTGAATGAGTAAATTTTTTGTATTGTTGGCAATCATAACATTTTTTGTGTTATTGCTCGTATGACACCTTAGTTGATTGTACCTGTTGGCATATGGGCTCCTGCAAGGATGCCTCGGTATTGCCTGTGTTTTAATTATGAATAGTAATGATGGGCAGTGACTAGCAGTGAAATCTAGTATGCGCATTTCGTCTTATTTGAGACTCGTAAGCTGAATGCACCTGCCGGCTCCCAGTGAGTGATGTTGTTCCCACCCACCCACTTACATGGATCGGTGGTATAGGGGATAACCCTCTGGCGTTTGAGGCAGTCGCTCCCGAGTCCGAGTCCCGGTGGGGACAACAACACCCAGCTGACGGGTCCCGAATAGGACGAGATGCGCATCCTAGATTTCACTGCTAGCCACTACCCATCATTACTATATATAACACTTTGTTTATGCACATCATCACTTTTATTGCTACTCCATTTCATATCCATGACCTTCTTGTCTGAATTGTACTCATCATATTTTCTTAGCTAGTATATATCCTCTGACCACTTTTTGATGTATATTGTATAACACTTTTCAGTACTTAGATCATGTATGTTCTCTTTCTTTTTGTCTAACTTCAGCTAAAGAATATTCATTGAATCTTTCTGTGTGTTATTAAGTTTATTACTAGTTCTTGTATGTCTTTTCCATTTATTCATTTGTCTTTAATTACATCATATCAGTGTAATCTTCTCATCAAGCCAATAATTTATACTAAGGGATGATTGAGGATAAAATGAAGATTTTAAACTCTGTCGGATTCGATCCAGCGACCACCATGTTTCTGGCTCGATACTCTACAAACTAAGCTACAAGGTCTGACTTTAATCACCAGGTTTTCTTTTCGCCTGACTACCGTGTAAATTTGTGATGCGTTACTACCACCTGATAGTATTCACCTTCAATCATCACCCAGTATAAATACTAGTCTACCAAACCACAGTTATCTTAGGTAGTCAAATGCATAATTTACTTACCAATTATGCAGAAGGCTTTGTAAAGCTTGAGATAAAAATTTTCTCAAGGTGAGAAAAAAATACCGAAATCAAATAGATCTTATCAATTCTATTGAAACTTTTGTTACCACTCTATTTCACTTCGAAAACACTAATTTATCGGTGTAGCATTGAAGAATTTATAAATCTGTGTATTACATTAGATGATGTGCTAACAAGAGGAGACTTGTACCCTGACATTGTGCTGAACATGGATGGATGCAGTTTTCATAGTCGTATAATGAAATTTCTATCATCCCTTCTAAATAAATTCAATGACATCCAGGAGAAGTTTGCTGATTAACACCATAAAAAGTACACTAATATAAATTTCTTGAATATCAACTGAAATATGCTTAAGTATTGATAAGTGATACATTCTTCTCGAAGTTTATTCTTGGATGAATTATTGAACTAGTGAGCCAAATTTTTGCATCAAGAAATAACTTTTGCCAATGAAAATTATTGAGTCGAATCACTGTTCATCGCAGTTTATCATTACTAGTTCACTTTTTGTTAAATTCTTGCTTAATTCAGTAGAAAGCATTTTCTATCTTAACCTCTCTGTCTATGCAGAAACAAGCTAGCTACTAGCTTAATCTGACTACATTGTCAATGAGTGTCATCCGAAATAAGTTAAGCTACTGATTAGTGTTTTATGCTTGATGGCAGCTGTCAGTAAAGTTAAGGATGTGCATTTCATCCTAACCACTACTCGTCAACTAGAATATTTGTAACACACTGAGCGATGGTGTTCCTACTGTGAATCGAACCTAGCACCTATAGATTGAAAACACTAGACTGTTTTGTGCTTTGCTATTGAATCATGACAGACCCTTTTTGCACAACATGTAACTTTTTTACCTATTGATACTTGTAATTTACTGTTGTTTGTTATACTGGATCAAATACATCGGTAACTCATGGCATACGGACTTCTTGAATAGATAAATAAAAATTGTCTCAAGTTTCATTTTAATGTTATTTGCTACACGGTTGTTAGCAGCTGCTCACTGAAGAGCAACCAAATTTGTGTTTTCTAGTCTTGAGTGCCGAGGGGATTCTGTAGATCACTTTCCAGTGTGGCCACTAAGCTAGAAAGCGCAGCAACGTAATACCATTTTGATGGCTGACAGTTAACTGAAAGGAATCAGTAAGAAGTTCTGCTTCAACTTGATTTCGTGCTTGTTAGTACTGGTCAGTAAGCTGTATCAGCAACCATAAGGAAACTGATATCCCCTCTGAGATTTGAACTCGCGTCATCCAGTATTGCAATCAGCAATGCTGCCCTGAGGTAATCGGGCTACGATTGACCTCGAGAAGAAAAAATTATGCGGAAAAATTAGAATTATTTCGGAAATCTTGTGCATTTTCATGTTTAAGTCGATGAATCACATCTATGAGGACTACTGACCCACCCAGGTGACCAAATTTGGATATATAGAGTGGGATTCTTAACCTCAGCAGATAAGGTGAAAGTTAACTCTCTTAACAAAACAGCTGCAAATTCATACCTCCAGTTACATAGTATCTAGTCCTATGAGAACCGAATTCTATCGAGCAGGACTACCAGTTGATTGGCTCCAATCAAGTAATGTTGTTCATTTCTATATAGTTCTCTATATGGTACTCTAGTGGGACGTATATGGGAGAGGACAAATTAGGCATCTGAGCCGAGGGTGATATGGAGGAGATGGTGTGAGGAAGAAATGAAAGGTTGTGGACAGTTGTGGAACCAGGTTGTAAAGACTGGAGAGAAGAGAGTGGAATGGTGATGTGCTATTGAAGCAGTAAGTTCCACTGGGATGCCAACTTCCTGAAAAAATTTCTTGGCAAAACATGAATAGATAGTGAATCTTATTCATTACTTCATTGAATTGTGAAGTCCATAATTCCTTCAAACAGAACATTTGGTCGACGATATCATACATGAGTGCTCACCTTAATCACTAAAAAGCAACACTACTGCCACCTAAAAACTTATCAAAGCACAGCACTTTTAATGGTTGGACATTTTGGTACTTCATAATTTTCGCTGACCAATAATGTTTCAACTACAGGCGGCACAGACGAGGATGTCAAAACCAGGATTGCAAAGACAGCAAGATAGGCTTTCACTAATCTGAAATCAGTATGGAGATCTACTACACTGTAGTCAGCATAAAGCGTGAACCACATCTGGATTTTCAACACCAATATCAAGTCAGTGCTGCTATGTAGTGGTTCAGGAGCTTGGAAAGTTATGAAAAGCATTTCCAACAAACTACAGACATTCATCAACAACTGCCACCTACGCTGACTCAACACTGAAGATCAAATGGTTAGAAACAATAGGCAACAAGGAACTCACTGTGGTAACGAACCAATCAAGAACCTATCACTCAACAGATATGCAGTGGAAGGAAATGGATATGGATTGGGCATACACTGAGAAGACGGATTGGGGACTTCACGCACCAGGTAAGGCCCTCGAGTGGAATCCAAAGGGGAAACAATGAATTGGGTATCAGAGGCGAGGAAAATATGGAGGAGATGGTGTAAGGAAGAAATGAGAGCTTGTGGGCAGTCCTGGTGGCAGGTTGAAAAGACTGGAGAGAAGATGGTGCAATTGAGGCGTACTACTGAAACCGTGTATTCCACTAGGAACCCAAGGGAAAAATATTATTAATAAAAATGTTTTAGTTCAAATGATGCAGTTATTTTATATGATCAATTGCCGCCTTCAAAGTTCAATGACAACTTCTATAATCGTAACAGTAGGTAGTCGTGATTGCCATCTCGTAGAAACGATGACTCGTCATGAGTAAGCAACAAATATTATTGAAACCATGTTAGGCATGATTTTCTGACTATTTCTTTACATTTATTCATCAGTATTTAGTGACAACCTTCTTAATCTTATCATTACCACTCTGTACAAATTCTGATTATTCCTACCTATTAGGCGTAATTGGATGTTTGTCAGTCACACTTATTCAAATTCCATCAGTAATAAGATTCCAAAAAATTAATCAAAGTTCTCTTCGACACAGAGTTATTCTAGACATGAATTTGCCTACTAGATATTAGAAAAATAAAACAGATTGAAAATATTACACCACTTGATCACTGGATGGTAATCAATGAAAGTATCCACTGCCATATTATCTACAGAGAATCATTTTAGACTTTAGTATTGAGTTGCACAGGTTTTCAACTTAAAGTCAGTATATGTTTAGTTAACGTTATAGACATACCTAGCTATTCAATGCCAGGAAGAAGGCAACATAACTTGATTAAATAGGCTTGGAACGTGTAAAGTGAAACCGAATGTATCATTATTATTTATCGCTTGGATTGCTAGTGGAACATACGGCTTCAATAGCACATCACCATTCTACTCTCTTCTCTCCAGTCTTTACAACCTGGTTCCACAACTGCCCACAACCTTTCATTTCTTCCTCACACCATCTCCTCCATATCACCCTCGGCTCAGATGCCTAATTCGTCCTCTCCTATATACGTCTCACTAGAGTACCGGGACTGGCCTGGTGCATGATGTCTCCAATCGGTCTTCTCAGCCCATGTCCAGTCCAATCAATCTCCACTTCTTCTTCACTTGCAGCTGTGGTGTAAATTAACATATAAAGCTGTTCCAATTCATGTTTAATGATAAGGTTGTTCAGATTTGGGTAATGGATGAAGACCACCTAACGAAATGAAAAAATCATGAATCCAAATAGTCATGATTAAACACTGATAAACATTGGTCTTTCATTGTGAGTGAAATCGAATATCTGGAATTCCCGTAGGTTTAGTGAATTATTGCATATCACTGAATATATCATTATCTCAGATCCTTTCCCTACCACACACAGATCCATATACGCAACACTGATCTTCGTTGGCTAAAATATACCAGCGGCGTGTACACTTTCAGTATATAGACTGACAGTATCTGCAGGAACATTGGAAGCCTGGCGATTACTGGACAGATGTTTCAGGCTAGTCTAGGACTCCTCAGTAGTGTGCACTGATGACCCCACCTCGTGAGTGATAGAGCCCAATGCCTTCAGGTTTGGCGAACAGCACGTAGCTGTTGAGTCATCGGGTCAGAATCCAATGGTCTACATTTCCTACTTCGGTCAGTACATGATATAATGTACTACTGAGAAGTCCTATACTGGTACAAAACTGCTATTCAGTGCTCTCAGATTTCTAATGTTTCTTCAATCTATATCAACGCGCTATGAATACCATCTCTACAAAAAGCCTCAAGGACTTGTTAGCTACCTCAAATATAAAGGAAAAGTTAACGATTTTGAATTTAGTATATTGAACTTAGTTATGATAGTAAAATCCCGAAATTTTCATTGTTTTCCTATTGATAACTCACCTTTTGACTGTACAGCCAATGTCATCCTGTGTGCAGAGTATAAATTAGCCAAATGTTTCTTCAGTAACGCGTAAACATCCACATTATTTTTCTCAGGTTCTGTGATCAAGGAAACCTTATTTCCTAAAAAAAAATGGTTGAATAATTCAATTTATTAGAATTATATTACATAGACTATTGATGTTTGACAATAATGGTACATCAGAATGACATCGACACAAAAAGCGTAGAAAATATATATATAAGGATTGACTATTTTTAGATCAGGGTGTAGTTGTTCATACAAACCACATCGTAAATTACAACAAAAACAATCCAACTTCAAATAAGAATAACTGTATAAAAATCTAGTCAGACGAGCAAATATATACAATCAAGGGGATCTGAGAGACCCTAGACGACTTGGATTTCACCGATGACTTGTGTCTAATGTCACACAAACTTGAAGATGTACATGCAAAATCCAACAAGTTAACAGAAAAGGTGAGGTAGAGAAGACATGCGTGATGAAGATACCCAACCAACACCACCAACGGCAACAACAAGCTCCAAACACCATCAACGGGGAAAAATTAAGCAAGTAGCCTCTTTCATTTACCTAGGCAGGCAGCATCGATTAAACGACAGGCGCAGAGGTACAGACGAGGATGTCAAGGCCATGTTTGGAAAGACAACAAAACAGGCGTTGGTTAACCTGAAACCCAGTATCCAGACATTCTGAACTCATCACAATGAACAAGATCCGGATATTCAACACCGAGTCAGTCAAGTCAGTGCTTATATGTGATGGTTCAGAACTTGGTGAGTCACCAAAGACATTTCTAAGAAACTACAGACATTCATCAACAACCGCCTACACTGACTCGATACTGAAGATCAGATGGCCAGAATAATAAGAATAAGCAACAAGGAAATCTGGCCTGGTAACAAACCAACCAAGAATGTATCACTCAACAGATATGCAATGGGAGAGAGTGTAGATGGATTGGGCATACACTGAGGAGACCCTTAGAGGATATCACGCGCCAGGCCAAGTCGTCGAATGGAAGCTAGATGGGAAACAGCTAGTTGGGCGTCGGAGCTGATGGTGATATGGAGGAGATTGTGTGAGGAAGTAATGAGAGCTTGTGGGCAGTAGTGGGGTGAGGTTGAAAGATTGCAGAGAGCAGAGTGGAATGGAAGTTGTATGTTCCACTCTGAAGCCGAGGGATAAATAATAATAAGTAATAAAGGGAGTCTGAGAGAAAACGCTTTTTCGAAATTTTCAAACTGAACATCTGTTCAAAAAACTTCAACATAAAATTTCTTTTCTGATGAAAAAATCAAGATCTGTGTTAAGACTAATCAAAGAATTATCCTAGCGAAAATCAAGAACATCTGGGACACAACAGCCCGATTGTTGTATCTTCCAGGAATACCAGTGAAACTTGAAATAAAACGTTAGGTACATCATATCCTATGCGAGCTGAATGATTCAGCCAACAAAGAAGCAATGTCCAATGTTACCTAGAAAGTCAATTGTAATAATTGCTAACTACAGTATGCGGGATAATCACGTGAATCCGTATTATGATGCAAGGTCGAACCCAAAATAACTTTTAAATGTCATTATATGAAGTCCTTCATCTCGATAGACTTTCAAATAAGCAAACTACAAAATACTTAGATGTACAAAATCTCCTGAATACCGAGAATTTTCAGACGAATGACAGCCTTACAAATCGGCAGTAAATCACAGTGTTGACTTAGTATACATGCCTATTTGAAACAAGTCAACTCAAGGAATCAACCGACCTGAATGCAAGGAAATCCTCGATATATCTGAAGAAGAAATTATTAGTTAGATAGATCAAGATAACCTACAAATAATTAACCAAACTCCTGTACTTAATCAATCAATGTGTTAGCACGATATACCAGCTGGATAGTTTACACACTTGGTCATATTTACTGCGATTATCAATATTATTTATTAACCTACTAAATGAATCCAGAAATTCATTGTAATTCGTCAGACAGCATACTAATAGGGATAATACAAATATTAAAAATAATCATGGCAGCACTATAAGAAGAGAATTCAAACTCTCTACTGTGCTACTATGCAAAGAAGGCACCTCAGTAGCTTTTCAAGGTACTGTCAATAAGATTGGAGTTAGAGTGGCATTTTAACCTACAAAGTGACTTTGAAACAAAATTTTGTAAGACTCTGTTGATCCAGTTACACAAAATACTTTAGCTTACCGAATTACTCCGTGCAACAGCTTCAAGATCAAAGTAGTTGACCAGGATAAGTTAGGCTGTCCAAGCATTCAGACCTAGCTGAGTCAAGCCTTGTAGACGTTAATGAGAAAGAGAATCTAGAGGGAGGCTTGACTATATCTATACACGCAATTACCTACAGCAAGATGTGATAGTGTGGCAGCCTTTAAAACGGACTTATTTGGGTGTAGAGAGGTAGATTGATGACTGGATATTTGTTCTTCAAATGGGTACTAAGTGCATGTGATGAGAATGGTTCTACACTGTAGCGAATATGCAGTAAATTCCACAACACTTTTCTCGAAAGCCGAGAGAGAATTAAAACTATGCAACTCATCTCTCAAGGTTCCAGGATTACCTTATTATGACTGCAGATAACGAACTTTTAAGTTGTTATGTATCATAGAATAACATTAGTTGGAAAAACATTAGAAGCCTGGGAGCACTGAACAGCTAATTTGTCCTAGTATGGGACTTCTCTCCGGTGCTCACCCATGACCCCACCAGGGATCGAACTCAGAATATTCAGCTGACGCTACCACTGAGCCATGTGTTCGAAATCCAGTGGTCCATATTTCCTACTTCTGTCATACGACGACGTAGCACAACCTCCACCCAATGGTGTCGTTGAGTATCTGTCCTCACATAACACTCGCATGGTCCCACCGGTCACGCCTTCTCACTAGATATTTTGGAATCACTTCTTGAAGCAAGTCACTAGTGAGGACTAGAAAAGATCAGTTTTGGAAGTTTTCGTAGTATTTACTTATTGATTCTAGGTTGATATTTAGCCGAAAGTTCGACAGAAATTTGTGATTCAATTAAATCCTACCTTTTGTCATTCATTCCTTGATCTAAACAGGTACAATAACGCTAAAATTTTAGCTTTTAAATTTAAACTACTAACAAATGTCAAGTAGTGTACAACTTTGCTGTTCTTTAATGGTAAAGAATGGGAGATCTGCAACATATATTTTAAAAGCTCACCTCGGCCAAACAAACGATATGGGGAGCCTTTGATTGCTAGACTTGATATGAAACCACGCAGTTTTGCATAATCTCTTGTTTTGAGCTTTTGAAATTCTAAAGGTAAAAAGTGAGTAGAAAGATCATATTAAAGTATGATCACAAATGGAGGTCATTACACAAAAATTGAATCCACCGTTTATGAATAATTCTCATAACTTGAATAATGACAAAGAGTTATTAATAAAGCTTTTTTAAACTATGACGTTTTGGCTAATTAAGAAAGGCTAGTTTTCATAGTACACAAGTAGTTTACAGATGATCTTTGTCAATCCAAATATACTACTGGTCAACATGAGTAGTTAGAAATCATCCACGTTGATTAGTGGATTCTATCAACCGGATCGTAGTGGTCTAAACACTACACAGCCATTGCGCTTAATTTGCGGCCAAGCTCAGAAATAGCGCGTCTATAAGAACTCAGCTCATAAAGCAGAACTTTTCATTCCACCTGGACCTGGCTAGCTGATTTGTATAGAGTGGTATATCTGAAACAAAATGATCTATTTGAAAGTGATTTGTTGGCTGTTTAGTGCGACTGATATCAGTTGGAGAATCATTGAGAACCTGAAAGCATAGCATAGCTTTTTTTTTCCTGAACAGGGATCCTCAGCAGTGTACATCCGTGACTACTTCAGGGGTCTGGCCGAAGACCTTTAGAATTCCTAAGCTGATCTTTGAGAGTGCCAGCCCAGTAATCTAAAGTCATCCAGTTTGAATCCTACCGATGACTCAAGCTTTCATTTCACATTAAAACATCATCTTGCATCACTGATACCGATCTGTCTGACAAACAGCAGTTATTTCGGATATTTGTAGCTACAAATATTGAATATAATTGTTAAGGAATGGAAGCATCAATTATTAGTGGCCAAACTAGTTCCTTCTATCTAAAAGCATTTAGGATACATTTGTGCTTCTACTGAGGAGCTGTTGTCCCTCGGGTCCCTAATGGGACATAAGGAATTAGTAGCACGTCTCCACTGCACCATCTTCTCTGCAGTCTTTTGAACCTCGTTCCACTACTGCCCACAATCTCTCATTACTTCCTCACACAATCTCCTCCATATCACCATCAGCTCCGACGCCCAACTAGCTGTTTCCCATCTAGCTTCCATTCGACGACTTGGCCTGGTAGGTGATATCCTCTAAGGGTCTTCTCAGTGTATGCCCAATCCATCTACACTCTCTTCCATTGCATATCTGTTGAGTGATACATTCTTGGTTGGTTTGTTACCAGGCCAGATTTCCTTGTTGCTTATTCTTATTATTCTGGCCATCTGATCTTCAGTATCGAGTCAGTGTAGGCAGTTGTTGATGAATGTCTGTAGTTTCTTAGAAATGTCTTTGGTGACTCACCAAGTTTCTGAACCATCACATAAAGGCACTGACTTGACCGACTTGATGTTGGAAATCCGGATGTTGTTCACGCCTTGTGCTGTGATCTACTGCTGATTGTATGAGATCTCCACACTAATTATTTCAAGTTAACAAAAGATACTACTTCCTTTAGCTTTCTCCCATTCGGGGTGATCGGAGCCTATTGTTAATAATGATGCTGTTGTTATTTGGGTATCTTTATCATCTCTGTCTTTTCTATGCTCGGTTGAGGTCACGTTTTCGCCGCCTTATCTCTTGTGTCAACTTGTCAATTTTCGGCTCCTGATCTTCGAGTTTGTTCTACAGTTCTACAGTCTTTTCATCGATCCAGCCAGCGTATGCTCATCTTCTCGCTCCTCACAGTTCGCTTCATGATCCATTCCAGTCGGCCGTATTCAGGAAGATCATCGGTGATAGAAGGCGGTAACCTTGCCTTACTCCTCTATTCACTTCAAAGGCATCACTCAGCCTTCCATTGTGAACCACTTGGCATGTAGCATCATATAGCACATAGCTGCTGAATGAGGTTGATAAAGGCATGCGGTACTAAAAGCGTAGTTTTGAAGCAGCTGTCTGCCAAATTACCTCTCTGTCGACGCTGTCGAAGACCAAATCAAAGTCGATGAAGTTGAGGTAGAGAGTTGACTGTCATTTTATGCTCTGTTCTAAGGTGATGCTTAGCTTAGTGTTGCAATTTGATCCGCACATGATTTATTCATCCTGAAGCCAGCCAGCATTTTCCGGTAGTAATTTTGAATCCAGCGCATTGTTTAGTCACTCTACGATGGTGCGGCATAATAGTTTGCTTGAGGTCGACAACAGCATGATTTCTCGCCAGTTCTTGCAAAAGGCTTATGTCTTCCTTCTTTTCAAAATTGACAAGGTAGCCCTACTTCCAATCAGCAGGTACCTTTCCTTTCTTCCCTTCAAACCTTCTGCAGTAGTGGTGTGAGCATATCTGCTGTTGTCCAACAATGAAATAATCGCTTTTAAACCTAAACAAGACTTATGTCAGCATTGCCTTTTATTGGTAATTCTTCGCTCTAATAACTTGCTAATGTTTCAGGTGACCGAAAATTCTTCCAACATTGATGTACTTTCATATATTTTTCATTCGCTGTCAATCTATGAGTTTACTATTTTTCAGGTAAAATTTATCAAATATATCATGCTGAATAACAGTGGACTCCCTAGTATATCACAGTACAGTTAGCTGAAAGTGTATTTGTTCATGACTTTATGAACCCCCAACTATTAGATCCAGACATACTGTTCTGCTGTTTCTTCACTGTTACAGTCTATCCATAGATTAAATGATAGACCGACAACAGCTGGACATTGTTGATAATCGTACTCTTCTTTGTATTATTGAGATATCATAACTATTACATTTGGAAATATTGTTCAAGAAGTAAATTATATTAGGATGTTACTAACTGAGCATTTGTTACAAAAGCATTTCCAACAAACTACAGACATTCATCAACAACTGCCTACGTTGGCTCGATACTGAAGAGCAAACGACCAGAATAATAAGAATAAGCAACAAGGAAGTCTGTAACTGAACCAACCAAAAACCTTCCATCCAATAAATACGCAGTAGAAGAAATTGGAGTTGAATTGGGCATGGAATAAGAAAGCTGACTGCAGGTATCACGTGCCAGAACAAGTTGTCTAATGGAATCCAATGGGGAAATGATGAGTTGGGTGTCAGAGTTGAGGGTGACATGGAGGAGGTGGTGTGTGAGGAAGAAATGAGAGTTTGTGGGCAGTCGTTGAGCGAGATTGAAAAGACTAGAGAGAAGAGGGTGCAATGAAGGCGTGCTACTGAAGCGGTATGTTTCACTAGGGACCCAAGGGATAAATAATAATAACTGAGAATTCACTTATCTATCACATATATATTACCTTGAATTAAGTAGTCATTCAATTTAGACTGATAGACTGATATCAGCCAAAGAGTCCCTAAACAGCTATTTTGTCTTATTAGAATGCTTCTCAGTATTAAACACTTAAAACTTTCAAGTTGTTATTCATCGAAGACTGACATCAGTTGGAGGAACAAAGGAAACCTGGGAGCATGAATAACAACTTGAAATATTTCCAAATCTCCACAACCCCCTCAAAATTTAATTGAACTAGTGCTCGTTGGTGACTAGCTTCGAGAAGTATTCCCGAAGTTCCAATGACAAGTCGTGACCGGTGGAGTCAAAGCCTGATGGCCGTGAGGACAAATACTCAACGATGACATTAGGTGGCGGTTTGCGCTATATCGTGAGCTAACAGAAGTTGGAAATATGAAGCATTGGATTCTGACCCAGTGGCTCAATGGTAACGCTCTGGTCGCGGAACCTGAAGGTCGCGGGTTCGATCCCTGCTGGTGGGGTCGTGGGTGCGCACTGCTGAGGAGTTCCATACTAGGACGAAACAGCTGTCCAGTGCTCCCAGGTTTCCTTTGTTCCTCCAACTGATGTCAGTCTTCGATGAATAACAACTTGAAATATTTCCAAATCTCCACAACCCCCTCAAAACTTAAAACTTTACCAGAATTCTAGATAATTAGTAGGTGAGGCGAAATACTCATCCATGGCACTGGACAATAATCATACTATAATTAAAAACTGACAAAAGTAACAATATATGTGAATGATTCAATTCCAAACGTATGGCTGAAAGATTTAATCTCCATTAAAGTATCGATGGCATTGCATTGTAGTCTTTTATTAAAGCAAAACAGCTGTTCAGGTTTCTAATAGTTCTACATTTCATGTCAATAATTGATAAGTACTAATTTAAGGTGATTATTATTATTATTATTACTATTATTATTATTATTACTATTATTATTATTATTATGTTTATTATTATTATTATTACTATCATTATGATTCATTGTTCTTCAGATGTTATTAAATAAAATCGAAAAATCTTTAACTAAATTCCTGTTCATTATTGTATTGTTCTGAAAAGATTTGACAGAAATAAAGTGAAGTTTTTTTATCAAAATAATATCAGCTTAAATTTGTTTACAGAATATTTAATGAGTATCAGGTCATATAATCGATAAGATAAGTAACAACCTTGAGAAATAACTTCCATTATTCTTAAAGTCTGGAATTTAACTAGAATTCAATTGATTGACTCTTAGAGTAACACACGACTAATAAGTTATCATTGTATATGTTAACTAGTTCCACTTTATAAACTTTATTGATTTTATGATGTTATACACATTATGAACACATTAGTGTTCATATAGTTTTTCTTGAAACTTCAGTGAACTGCAATTGGTTGTGAATCAGTTCAAGGATTTAAAGCTGCCTATAAAGACTAAGGTAATTTTACTATATTGAATGTCAAGGTTTGTGAGAATTTAGATATTTTCCAAGTTGGTAGTCATCAACAGGTGATTCCCGAAATTCCAATAAGAATTCATGGCCAGTGCAATAAACCTAGTGCCTGTGAGGATAAATACTCAACGATGGTATTGGGTTGCGGTCACGATATGTCGCAAACTGATAGAAGTCGGAAACATGGACCATTGGATTTTGATCCAATGGCTCAGTGCTAACGTGCTGACCATGAGACCTGAAGGTCGCGGGTGCAATTCTTGATGAATAGTTTCATACTAGGACGATACCTAGCGTTCACAACAGAATAAAACTCAAGTGACTAATTCATGGAGCTCACATTCTAATAGGCACTAGACAGTTTGGTTCGCTGAAGTGGATGTCATCATCATCATCATCAATATCAACATAGGATCAGGCATTACTGCGTAACGGTCCGAGTTGTCACACCTCATATGAGTTCATCAAGTAGAAAGGTAGTGAGGTGAAAGATGAAGAGAAGAAAATTCAGTCAAAAGAATGACAAAATGTTGAGGATCGCATAGTTTTGAGATGATGATAATGTGCGTATACATCTGTGCCACTGACATCGGTTCTGAGCCGTGTCACCTAGAGTCTTCAGTCACTGGTTCCTCTTGTCTCTCAGACCCCAACCAACTAGTCTGACTCGCTTCACATGGCTCAAACCAACAGTCAGAGACTTCATACATTGGTGCCATGTTTTAGTCTGGCCACCTCACGCCTTTTACCACCCTAAACCTACTTTGACCAACATTGTATGACAAGGCAATCGGTGACTAGGCATACGTAGTACGTGTCCCAACCACCTCAGTCGATGAAGGTTCATAACGTCGTCAACTGATTTAACTTTACTTCCTAAAACTCTATACCTGATGTCTGCATTACTCACGTAATTACACCACGGAATACGGCCTATACTACGAAGGCAACAGTGGTCAAACACTTGAAGCCTTCTCATGTCTTCCAACTTGAATGGCTATGTTTCACAGCCATAGAGTGGAACAGAGTGGACTACTGTGCAGATAAACGGATATCACGGCGGCGTCACATGTGGCGTAAGTTGGCGAAAGCCAATCGAGCCTCTTGTATCCGCGCAGAGATTTCATCGGCAGCTGACCCACCAGGACTCACTCAACCACTTCACTTTATATTGTTAGCCATGAGACCGCTGAAGACCAATCCTGGAGCAACAATTTACATTTGGGTAATGAGAACTGTATCTCAAACATTCTCAAATTTACACTCAAAGTATTCAAAAGACTCTAGACAATCGAAAAGTTACACAGTATTATTAATCATTGATACCTATTGTAGAGGAGGAGAGTCTTATGACTTAGTGGAATGTTTGATACGTCCAAATTATTCTAAGGAATATTAACACTGATTCATTTATTCATTTATTCAAATTACTTACCCATATCTAATTTTTCAATTGCTTTCCTCATGATATCTCTTTTCAATATAGGATTAATGAAATACAATGCAAATAGACTTAAAGCTTCATCAAAGTATTTATTAGGAATACTGAAGTAGAAAAGTGTATGTTCATTCGATGTCTTCGAATCCCAATAGCCATTACGTTCATGAATGTAGTCATGAAAACATTTTACCTCTGAATTTGGTGAATCTCCATGGAAAAGCACTAAAGATTAAAATACATTTATTATCACATAATTTAAGTGTAAGTAACAAAATTGCATTGAAAATAGTCATAAATATTTACCATTACAGTGAATAATAGTTAAAGATGTTGTAACTATGGGTAGTCAAATAAAGTCCGCCTTGAACTGTTATTAGATCTACAAATTATTGACTCAGAAATCATGAAATTTTTTCAATATAAGGGTAAAACTTATGAACTAAGGTAGAATCAAATTTTATTTGTTCATTGATTTATTAGACTTATCATACAGTGGAACAGTATCGTTTAATGGATTACCTTTCGGACATAATTTATGTTGTCCATAGTCATACATCGAGATAACTACACAACATTGAGATATCATTTATGTAGTCTTAATTCCTTCTCCAGAGGCTTGGCGCGTCACGAAAGGGGTTTCCAACAAACTACAGACATTCATCAACAACTGCTTACACTGGCTCATTACTGAAGATCAGATGGCTAGAAACAATAAGCAACAAGGAACTCTGGCAGCGAACCAACCAACAACCTATCACCTAGAAAATATGCAGAAGTAAGTGGAGATGGATTAGACATACTGAGAAGGCCGACTGGGGACATCACGCATCACGCCAGGCCCTCAAGTAGAACCCCAATGGGAAGCGGCGAGTTGGGCCTCCGAGGATGACATGGAGGAGATCGTATGAGGAAGAAATGAGAGCTTCTGGGCTGTCGTGGAGCCAGGTCCAAAAGATTTCAGAGGACAGAGTGTACTGCAGACGTGCTACTGAAGCCCTATGTTCCATTAGGAACCCAAGGGACAAATAATAAATAACAATAATTCCCTCTCCCCCTTTGTAACATAGGTAGTAAGATATTCGATGTATCTGGAAAAGATGCTATGTCATTCCTGTGGCTGCAAATCTTGATTAGATGAACAAGGATTCAGCTATAAATCTCTACCTCCATCCTGCTACGTTTGTTTTAAAGATTTTTACTTTGTCCTATCCTATTGTGTGTATGTATGTAACAGCTTGGATACAAATTTCTTACATTATTAGGATTTTGAAACAGTGGAGAATATTTGCAGCTCAGGTGAATGGAACACATTACTAGGATCTACTAAATGTGACCTAGCTAAGTTTTTGTGCTCGAGTAGCCTAATTAACCAAGCCTGGTAGACTACTTCGACCTGTGTATTTGATCTTGCCGACATTGTAAGAGATTTGGTAAATGGAATTGTTCTGCCTTATTGGATCAACACAGATAAAAGCAACAAAAGATGATGAAGGAAATCCAATTACCAAAGAACAGAAACAAAGAAAACAATGGGCCGACCACTTCAGAAAGCTCTTCAATAGACCACCACCTGCACTCCGTCCAGAAATGCCACCAGCAGCCCAGCCACAGAACTACATGAGAACACAAATCCTCCAACAAAGATCGAAGTCCTGAACACCATAAAGCTACTGAAATGCGGGAAAGCAGCAGAAGCAGATGTAATCCCTCCAGAAGCACTGAGAATAGACACAGGGACGAAAGCGGACATGCATACACCACTATTGCAGAAGGTGTGGAAGGAAGGGAAGGTACCTGCCCAGCGATTGGAAGAGAGGCTACCTGGTCAAACATCTAAAGAAGGGTGGGCGACCTACGCGTTTACAAGAACTGGCGCGTAGTCATGCCCCTGTCCACCCTAAGCAAAATATTATGCTGCATCATCCTGGAGAGACTAAACAATGTGCTGCATTCAAAACTACGACCGGAACAGGCGGTCTGGCTGGATTCAGGAAGTACAAATCATATGCGGACCAGATTGCTACTATACGCCACGCATCATCATAGAACAGAGCATAGAACAGTCAAACCAACTCTACCTCAACTTCATCGACTTTGAAAAGGCCTTTGACAGCGTCGGCCGACAAGTAATTTGGCAAGCAATTGCTGCAACACTACGGAATACCACAAATATTTATTAATCTCATTCAACAGCTAGCTATATGAAGACGCCACATGCCAAGTAATTCACAATGGGAAGCTCAGTGATGCTTTTGAAGTGAAGATAGGAGTGAAACAAGGCTGTCTACTATCACCCATAATATTCCTGATTGCAGTTGACTGGATCATGCAACAAACTGTGAGGATCGAGAAGAGAGGTATATGCTGGACCGTGGAAAAGAACCTGGTAGATTTGCATTTCTCCAATGATGGTGATGTATATCTAATGTCACACAAACTCGAAGATGTACAGGCGAAATCCAACAAGTTGAGAGAAGAGGTGAGGCAGAGAACGAAGAGAAGACAGAGATGATGATGATAACCAACCAACAACATTAACAACAACAACAAGCTCCAAATACTATCAGCTGGAGAAACTTAAAGGAAGTAGCCTCCTTCACACACCTATCTGAGCAGCACTGTTTCAATTACAGGTGGCACAGACACAGACGAGGACTTTAAAGCCAGCCGGAAAGACAGCAAGACAGGTGTTCATTAACCTGAAACCAGTGTGGAGATCTACTGCACTCAGCATAAAGCCTGAAAAAGATCCTGATTTTCAACACCGACGTCGAGTCAGTGCTTCTGTATGGCTCAGAGATTTGGCGTGTCACGAAAGGCATTTCCAACAAACTACAGATATTTATCAACAGCTGCTGCCTACGCTGGCTCGATACTGACAATGATGCTCAGATGGCCAGAATAATAAAAATAAGCAACAAGCAACTCTGGCTTGCTGACAACGAACCAACGAAGCAAGAACCTATCACTCAACAAATATGCAGTGGGGGGAAGTGGAGATAGATTGGGCTTGCACTGAGAAGACCACCTGGGGACATCACACACCATGCCAAGTCGTCGAGTGGAAGCCAGGTGGGGAACGATGAGTCGGGCGTCTGAGTTGACGGTGACATGAAGGATATCATATGAGGAGGAAATGAGAGCTTGTGTGCTGTCGTGCAGCTACATTTCCTCACAGCCATACGTTCCTGACTATCCATATAGTCGTACATTAATTTTGGTAAATGATCAAACATAACCCTTTATTAATTTACTATCACCATCTTCCTATTGTAATGTCTTGAAGCTGAACTCCGAAGATAAGTGATTATAATTTTACTCTCTAAATTGTATCCACTGAAATAATCTATGTATAGTGTTACTTCGTTTATAGATGAATCACTTTTAATATAGATGTGAAACTTGGGCACTGTGGTAGAAATTAATTCCATATTAGATTTGTTTATTTGATTTATAACACACAGGGATCTAGTATCACTATTTACTTGATGACGTTTCGGGTATAATTTCTCTGTTGCTCATTATCATATCAACGTAATCACACTCCACTTCAATATCTGATTTTTATAGTGATGTCACTTTGTATGAGTTGTTTTTATTGGTAGCAAAATTCTCCATATCTCTGGTACACATGGGTGTTGCATCATTTCTATTACATCAAAAATATGTTGGTGATATGTGCATGATACATTTACTGTGTTGAAATCGGAACATATCGACAGAGGCTGATCAATTCGGTCCTATCAACGACGGTGTAATACAAGCAATAACACTAAAACCTATACCCGTTACACAAGAAGTGGCTATCATGGCTCGGTGGTGTAGTGGATAACGTGCTGGAGTTTGGAGTGATCGCTTCCAAGATCGAGTCCCGGTGGGAACAACATCACTCACTGGGATGCAGGTACACCCAGCTGACGAGTCCCAAATAGGACGAAATGCGCATCCTGGATTCCATTGCTAGTCGCTGCCCATCATTACTAAACATAGTTAAAAGACAGGCCATATCGAGGCATCCGCATAAGAGCCCATACGCCAACGGAGGCTGATCAATTCGGTCCTATCAACGACGGTGTAATACAAGCAATAACACTAAAATATCGACAATTTCCTCACACATAACATAAACTCAGTAGTAAATGCAATCCAATTCACTTACGAGGAGGTAGAGAATGAACAAGGAGAATTATCTATGTTGGATTGCAGAATAAAATGAAGAACAGAAAGTGGCTTGGATACTACTGTCTACAGAAAACCAACACATTTCAACAGGTATCTAGACTTCAAAACACCCCATCCGATATCACCCGGTTAACGCAGGATCAGTCAAATATCTAAATGATAGAGCTATAAAACTGACTAGTCAGAACAAGGACCTAAACAAGGAATTGAAACACGTGAAAGAAGCTCTAATAGTTAATAATTATCGTCCGCAGGTTGTTAAGGAATTCTTACGGACATACAAGAAACGAAATGATAACAATAACACGAGTACGAATAATAACGACAACATGAGTGAAAAGGAGTTCACAGACTCCATTGTGTTACTTTAAATGGAAGGTAAATCAGAACGTTTATGTAGGATCCTCAACGAAACAGGAATTCGGGTGGCATTTAAACATTCAAACTCATTCAGAGATAATTTTTGTTGGCTGACTTAAGGATCCGATAGAACCAGCTAAACAAAATAATCTAATCTATCAAATACCATGTAATGACTGTGAATCAGGTCAAGTATATTGGTCACAGTAGTCGGTCGGGGTCAGTTAGAATCGCCTAACATAGGAGTTTAGCTAAATATAGAATAACAGGCCTAAATAAGATGAATAATCTATAAAAAACTCGGCTATTGTTATGCATGCATTAACACACAACCACAGAAGTGAATGGGTGGGATAAAGCCACTGTACTTAAGTCAAATATAATTAGGTGGAGAGAGAGATTGATTACTGAATCTTTGTTTATCGAATCAATATGCAATACATGTAATAGAAATGATGCAACACCCATGTGTACCAGAGATATGGAAAAGTTTGCTACCAATAAAGACAATTCATATAAAGTGACGTAAGTATAAAAATCAGACATCGAAGTGGAATGTGATAACACTGATATGATAATGAGCAACAGAGAATTTATGGTCGATATTTCGTCAAATAAATAATACTAGATCACCTACTGTGTGTTATAAATCAAACAAACAAATCTAATATGGAACGAAT